CACAGTACTGTACATAGAGATAAACCACATTTACACTCCATTCAAAAGAGATAATAAAAAAGTTAAGAAGGAAACAAAACATACCAGAACATATCCCCTCCAGGAGGGATTAACACCAGACAAAGAATTAAGCAGAAAAAATGCCCCAATCAAGGAACTACCAAGAAGAAAAGCACACCCCACCAACTCTGGCAGGGCAAGCTACTGTATATAAACAGGGAGCAAAGCCCACACTCACTAGGATTGATGATGTTACCTAGTTGGGTAATGAAACGTCTGCAAGCAAACGACCAAGCTCAGAGAGCACCAAGGACTCCGCAGGAGTAGGTTTCTAAGGAATCCCCAAAATAGCTTCCAAGCCATTTAATTAGTCATAGGTGACAGCTTGCTATTTTTAAAGCTATTGAGGAGGAGTTCTATTCAAGCCACATAAGGAGAAACAGCAGTTTGTGTACTTTCTGACAACAGCTGTTTTTAATCATCTCTTTGTTGCAGCTACTTTTGCATCCCTAGAAGCAGGGTAGGTTATACTTAGAATCTGACAAACTACCATAGGATATGTTGAAAATTATTAGTGTGGTACCATTCCCTCACCTCCCCCCCTTTTTTTCAACTTTTCTCCTTCTACCTGATGCAAAATAAATTAATTTTGATTTTTAAAAAAAGAAGAGCATTTTGAATGGGAAGAGGTATGTGGTTTTTGCATTTATCTAAGTGATGAGTAAGTTCAGATACCCTGTGTGTGAGAATACTGGTTTTCACAGTACTGGACTACAGACATATAGTCATCTACATCCTTCCTGGCTTTCCATATACTTCAGCTAAATCCCTAGGAAAGACAAAACAAGAGAACTCTCCCATGGGTCTTTTAGTAAGAGACTTGGATGCACTGGGTCCTGTTCGCAGCTCCAATGGGTTGCTCCAGATGAAATCATGTGGTATAAGCCAAAATGTCACCCACTCTTTGGACATGGCTCTAGTGCTTTATTTATGGGGAAGTCAAACCCCCAGAACAAAGTGGGATCCAGTGGTGGCAATTTTCAGAGGTGGATCAACAAAAACAGAACAGAACAAAAGGACAGTAGAAAAGCATTATGAAGCCACAAACTGCCCTTAATTTTTTAATGCTTAAGCTTTTATCATAATATTGCTGGTCAATTGCTGATTGAATATAATGCTTCTCTCTTCCAGTAAATTTCCATTAATATACAGCTATAGCAAAATCAACATTAGAAAAGGCTCTTCTCGTTTACACTCTTTTGCTGGATGTGTTCAAATATTAATTTGAAATGGACTGCCACACTTGCAATTAACTGTAACTACAACAAATTTTGCTGGAAAGAAGTTAGTCACAACTCTAATGGTTTCATTAATTTTTAAAAATCTCTTTTAACCCTGTATGAAATAAATGTCTTACTGTCACATTTCATCCCTTGGTGCAGAAGTCCATAAAGTAATGAACCACAATGGTCACAAAACGTTGGGCTCCCATACGTGTGGATTTTGAACTTATGCTTGCTTCTGGGATCCTAAAAAGAAGAGAAATAAATGTCAGTGTCATGCTATTTGTTAATCAATGAAGTTAAAGATGTTAATGTCATCATATATTACATGAAAGTTTCTGAATTACAAATCCATGTACAACTCCTTGCAGAATACATATATCCATTGAAAATACTTGTGTGTTTCTTAAAATAAATAAATAAATATATAAAATCTGTAATATAACAACATTACCTTCATTTGATTTTGAGTCTGTTTATATTATAATAAAAGTAAAACAAAACAAAACAAAATCAGGAAAAACTCCCCATACCTAATACAGTGATGCCATTATGTACATGTTTCCCTTACACTAATACATACACCTCAGTATGGTTCCTTCAAAGAACACTTGAGCATTACAGATTTGTTTTTGGAAGCCTGTGATAATCAGGCTGAAATACTATCAATGTTGTATCTGTATATTTTGGTCTTTGACTGCTACAATAAAGAAACTTGAACTGGCTGAAATAGTATGAAAAGCTTATTCATATTCCTACCAACAGCTTAACTTAAAACTATTCCCAAGGAATCCTGGTTCCTTCAAACTGTGCTTTGAAAGATGACATCCTGCTTTACCAATTCTGAAATAAATTGGTAGTTGCCAAAGTTCTATACTTTTAACGAGAAAATACTGGTAACTGCAGCTTCTTGTTTTTTGCTCAGGATCTAGTTCTGTCACAGAAAGATATTCCAAAACCACAGGGATAACCCATATGCTGCTGCATAATGCCCTAAAGTTAAGAGCAGGAAGGCAAGAGCTTGTCAGCCCTACAAGGGGATCTCCAAATTGTGGGAGTCCTCAAGAATTTAGGCAGCTGCTGCAGATGGCAGAAATGGAGTAGCCTCTGAGGTCCCTTCCAATTTCAGACTTAAGACACATGCATTTTGCAGAGGAGAGAGGTAAGTGCTTGGTTTAGACTCCAGGTTTAATTAACCCTTCCAACAGCATGAATTTAAAGACAATGAGAAAGACCCTTTTCTGTTTAAGACTACATCAGAAGAGCAAACAATCCGCCCCACTCTGAGGCAGCTTCCAATATTCCTATAGTAATGCCTTGTCCTCTTATTCCTTTTTATATTGGTTGGGGAAGAAATTTAGTTTGTCAATTTTCTCTGGCTCAAGACAGGAAATCCTTTACAATCCTTTACATGAAGTACATATTAAGTATTAAAAAAAAAATCAAAGGTTTAGTGCAAGACACAGATGTCAGAAAATCTTGTCAGTTTAAAAATGCATGAGCAACAACATCAAGAACAGTATGTTCCAACACAAGTGTACTACATATGTCCAAAATTAATATGATACAGTAGCAAAAAGATAATCTCGTATCTGTACCAGTTAGATAATTTTATGCACCAAGTTTAGAGCTTTTGTTAGATACAGGCTATTTTTTCTATCTATCTGAGGACTGAACCTATGGATGATTCCACACACCTGAAGATCAGTGAGGTCCTAAAAGAGTTAGTTTTTTAATCTACAGTAGCAAAAGATCCAGAAAATCTGATGTAGCTTTAATGAATGAGGTGCAATTTTTTACTTCCTGCCAACAATTCTACACTGAAATTCAAGCTTTCAGCTTCATGTATAGATACTCCCTGGAGAGATTCTTGGATGCATTATTCACACCACAAATAATGTAGACTTCCAATAAATTATTTTATGATAAATTTCAGAAGATAAAAATATCCAGAATGGATAAGTATCTAAAATGCCCCTCTAGGGGGAGGCAGAACGACATATAAAAGTATCTAATAAAAATAATTAATGTTAGACATGTGCTTGTTCACCTAGCTCAGCTGCACTCTAGAGGCAAAGCTTTCATTATTTTTCATCACGTGACTTTAAAAAAAAATGCAATGCACATTCACCCCAAAATTATACAAAATGGCACTCAATGATAAGATATGAACAATTCAATAATTTGTACAAAACATTTTAAATAGAATTATCTGCTGGCTTTAGGCCTATGGCAAATAATTGTTAAGATCAATAAACTGTATTTCAGACTACCTATATTTCTCAATAAGATTCCAATGACTATGATGTATAGTTTTAAGCTGCCAGCTCATTGAAAACTCTCAGAAGTGACAAGTATGGCATTATAAAATTTAAAAAGGCTACTGAAGCTTGATTAGCATTTGTGATACGATTCAGCTTCAATGCATGAACGTCTAGCAGCTCAGATGAACCAGCTGCTAGCAGCAGGCTCCCACCCAGACTGGTTAAGTGCCCCCACAAGGAACCGCACCATCCAACTACCAGCCAATAACCTCCCCACAACATGAAAAGTCCTATCAGGCATCATAGCTGCCAAGCTACAGGACCATATGGACCAGTACATCAGCACAGCTCAGAAGGGCATTAGGAACACCAGAGGCTCAAAACACCAGTTGCTCATGGATAGAGCAGTCACCTGAGACTCAAATTCTAGACAGACTAATCTGAGCACAGACTGGATTGACTACAGAAAAGCCTATGACTCAATGCCACACACATGGATCTGTGAATGCCTGGTGCTATACAAAGTCTACAAGACACTAAGGACCTTCCTCAAGAACTCAATGGGACTGTGGCATATGCCAAGGTGATGCACTGCACCCCCTCAGCCAGATAACTGGATACAGGTACAAGTTCAAAAGTGGAACTACCATCAGCCACCTCCTTTGATGAATGACATTGAGCTGTATGCTAATAGTGAACGAGAGATCGACTTGTTGATCCACCTGACATGGATCTACAGTGAGGACACTGGGATGTCATTCGGACTGGAGAAGTGTGGCCAGATGGTGGTAAAGAGAGGGAAGGTAGTTAAGACTGATGGGGTGGAACTATCTGTGGGCCACATAGCAGACATAGAGACCAACTACAAGTACCTTGATATCCCTCAGTCACATGGGAACCATGATGAAGCGACAAGGAAGACAGCAACATCCAAGGACCACCAAAGGATAAGACAGGTCCTGAAGAGCTAGCTCAATGGGAAGAACAAGACCCACGCCATTGACACGTACGCCCTGCCAGTCATTATATACCCTGCCAGTATAGTGAGTTGGCCAAAAGAGGACATACAGGCTGCTGATGTGAAGACCCAGAAGCTCTCAAAATGTACGGAGGTTTCCACCCCAGGTCCAACACCCAGAGACTGTACACCAGCTGGAAAGAGGGCAGGTAGGGTCTGATGAGTGTCAAAGCCACTGTTCTAGATGAAACCCAGAGCATGCAGGAATACATCAGTAAGCAGACATGGGAGGAAGTTCAAGTGGAGGAAGTGCCATGGCAAGACAAGCCCTTGCATGGGACGTACCATCGCAGATAGCTGAGGTGGCTGACATTGGGAAATCCTACCAGTGGCTGGAAAGAGCTGGACTAAAAGACAGCACTGAGGCACTCATCGTAGCAGCTCAGAGCTCTCTGTCCAGAAGAGTGCAGTGCTAGGAACAGCTCAGACATTGCACAGAACCTCAAACTCCCAGGCCTCTGGTAGAGGACACGAAACTGAGGAATATACATACAACCTCATAGGGGTGAAAGGGATTTTTGCTGTCTGTCTATCTATCTTCTTTCAACTTCCTTTGGAAGCAGGGATTGGCAGGAGGAACAATTACACAAGCTAGAAAACCACTGCCACACAACTACATACATTTCTGACAGAAATCCCTTCATCAGCACTTTATCTATCCCTCTAATTCCAAAGTCTAAGTGAAAAAAATCAGTGTTTCTTCTCATAATGTACATGGAATTCCTTGCACTTCCACTTGTTCTGACAGTACACAATTTTAGATTTAAAATTTAGACTTTTTAGATTTTAGATTTAGATTTTTTTTATCTTGCCTTTATTATTTTTATAAATAACTCTAAGTGGCGAACATACCTAATGCTCCTTCCTCCTCCTATTTTCCCCACAACAACAACCCTGTGAGGTGAGCTGGGCTGAGAGAGAGTGACCGGCCCAAAGTCACCCAGCCGGCTTTCATGCCTAAGGCGGGACTAAAACTCACCGTCTCCTCCTTTCTAGCCTGGGGCCTTCACCACTAGATCAAACTGGCTCTTATATTATTCTCCAATTATTTTTTTAGATTTTTTTTAAATTAAATTTTTTTTTTACAATTACAAGTTATACAATTCCACAATTATTCTCCAATTCTACATAGTCACCTATGATATACTAACATTATCTCCTCAGCCCTCTGAGAATTGGTATACTAACTCCCACAAATAACTGATTCCTCATACAGGAATTATTCAGCATCAGCGATCTACAATCCCCTTGGTGCCTTGAAAATCACCAGCTGTGTCTCTGTGGAAGTGAGAAGAGCTTCTGAACGCCTGTACCAGACCTTTATCTTAAGGTATGGATATAAGCATCTGGCAGGAGAGTTGAAATCCCACTCAAAGGTATTTAACTACCATTTCAATGTGTATTTGAATTTGAAAGTACAGAATAATACAGTGTTACACATTCTAAGCAGACTCCCTTACCCTCGGTAATACTTCTACAGCTAGGAAACCTGTAACTGCAACCAGTGCAATAGTAATGCGAGCAACTGGCTATTTTATGTATTGTGGTCACTTTACAGACAGATGAATTAGAAATGGCTGTTTAGAAATTATGATTTTGAAACATTACTGGAAAACATACCAGAGGGATGTGGCAATGCATTTTTACTGATTACTTCTTCTTTTTACAAATTGTCCTCAGCATATGAAAATGTTGGTAAGTCTGGATAAATAACATACAGTAATACTAAAAGTCTCTTCATTAATAGTACTGAGCTACTGAAAAGTTCACTCACTGGTTTTTGATGCCAGGACTAAACTGCCTTCCTAAAGAAAATAATAAATGTCTCCTACTACAGTTCCCTCCAGTGTATATATAAAAAAACTAGTGATCCTGAACATTTTTCACTGCCTAAGTTCTTAATAAAAGGACTACTGTAACCCCTGGAGCTTGTCTCTGTGTTGCCTCAATTTGTCAGTGTTGAT